AAACCAACACCGAAAACAACGACAAACTAATGTTTGCTTACGAATGTGCGTCTCTTAAGGCTTAAGCCATTGCACAAGCGCAAACGATTATCAACAACAACAATAACAGCACTGGCGGCGCTTTTGGGCCAAGTCAATCAAGAAAACAATAAAAACTTTCATAATTAGCGGGCGCTGCGTACTGCGCTTGCGTGTGTGCGTGCGTGCATAGCAAAATGTGTGTAATTTAAACTTAATCAAACACACTGACACACTGCAGACAATTATTTTTATAATTTTGCATTTCCACTTTTGCTTTTCTTTGCGTTTCTTTAACTGAAAAAACCACGCATACCGTTTGCTTAGCAAGGCGTTAAATTGATGTTAAAATACTTTTCTTTTTTTTTTTTTTTTTGCAACAATTTCGCAGTATTTTACAGAGAGTTACAGATTTTCACCGCTACAGCGCCACGGCGCCAACACGTAACGTACACGTCGGGAGACAGCTGCGTACTAAACAACAAAAAAGCAAAGCTTCAACTTTTTCAAGTCGTTTCGTTTAATTCACTTGCATTTGAGCTCAACACACACGCACACACACCAGCGCAAACATATGCTCACAAAGAGAGGAAGAGAGGGGAAGAGAAACACAATAAACAATTGTTAAGATTGCCGCTCGCTGCTGAGATAAATCGAGATTAGAGCACACAACGGCATACATATGCCGCTTCTGGCAAGTGCGAGAGCACTCCACTCAATATAGCATACAAATAAAAAAAAAAATTAGCAATACAATTTGACCGCAAAAATATTTCTAAACTTCACTTTAATATTAAATTTAAAACACACGAAGTCGCTCTCCTTGATCCCACTCATAACTTTTGATCACACTCACTCGCTCATACACACTCTCTTCTCTTATTTTTCTTTCTCTCGCCCACACAAACTGAAACTCTCTCGCTGATGACAGTGCAAAATGAACAACAACACACACAGCTGTAGCAAGGAGCAACTCATTAAATGATTTATTTCCAGTGTATTCCGGATTTAGATTCTAAATTTGGACAATGGGCCAAATTTACATAAATATACAAACATCCATACATACTTTTCACTTGTTAAACAATTTTCGCTAGTTTTACTCGTTAAAAATGTGAGTCTTGCCTTGTGCGCTGATTGAAGAAATTAGTGCAATTGATGCGATGCGGGCGAGAGTGCGCAGCTGGAGCTGGAGGCTATACGGCTGCGGCTGTGGCACAGTTTTTACAGTTACACGCGATGCACAGTGGACAGATAATAATAATAACAACAACAACAACTATCACTATCGGCAACAATGGCGGGACGCTGCGGCTGGTACAAACACTAATACAGCAGCAGCAACAACAGCCGTTTAGATTTTGCGCGCTCTCCGTCTCCTCCTGACGAACTGCCTGTTTTGCTCGCTCTCCCTCTCGCTCTATATCGGTTTTAGGTGATGCGGACTCGTCGCGAATTTATTTAACTTTTTTTTTTTGTCGTATTTCGTTTTATTTTCTTAATTTACTGCGCAAATTTACAACAAGATAACAGCAGCCGCAGCAGCAGCAACAACAACAAACACATCGACACTGACGATGGAATATCCTCACCACCTTCACGGTCCGTCGATTTGTTTTTACCGATCACGCGCAAGAGACTGAGGCTCGAGCTGCCGTTGCGTTGACCAAAAAGTTATGAGGCCGTTTCATTTTGCACCTGCCAGGGCTGCGCACTCACTCTCACACAACGCTCAGCTCAAATGGCAGCCAATTGCAGTTGGCTGCCAAAGCAATGCGCATGTCCATCCCACTGAATGGCCGGCTTCCAGTGAGCAACTCTATTTGAAGCAGGCGGAAAAGCTAATGAGCGAAAAAATACTTTACATGCAGCCCTGGTTTCTGTGATACAGACGTAAAACTAGTTATTGCTCGCTTACGATTTAAGCATACGACTTGATGACCCAAGCGTGCGCTACATTTACAAAGGAAAATTTTAAAATGGTGAGGAAATTTTTACATTTACACAAAATGAGAATTATGCTTTTATTTAAATATAAACATCAAACTGTGGCTTAATTTAGATTTTTCTATCGTACAAAAATAGTATGTAATCAAGTAATTTTCACATTAACCCAATGAACTCATTTGCCTGACTTATTCAACTGTAGGGGATTAAGCGTAGTTTTCTCTTTTGTGGTCGAAGCACACACACATACATAAGGGTATGAGTAAGCGCTCATTTGTGCGGCAGTGTATGCGTGTGAGTGCTTGTGCATTTAAAAGTTTTACCTGTTGCTTTTCAATTGTTTTACACTTTGATAGAAATTATTTTGTGCACAATTTTGTTGGACCAACGTTTGTTTGCATACAGAATCCGTTAAAACATCAAGATTCGTAGAAATAATTACAACAACAGGTGGTTAAACACACACAAGAAACAAATCGTTTACAATTTATAAAAATGTATGCAAGTGTGTGCGCGCGTGTGTATGTGTAAGTGTAAGCTTTGCTTGTGTAAAACAAAGACCTGACTTGAAGACAATATTGTTGTTGCCGCTGCTGCTATGGAGAGGGCAGAAGACCAAAGCTGTAGCAGCATACACATAAATACATTTGTAAGCATATTCACACATACATATGTAAGTATGTTTATATATATGTAGGTATGTATACACATTTGTGATACGTAATTTCTTGGGGTTTTGCCTTTGGTTGGTTGAATTGCAATAAAACTGGTTTCCTAAGTCAGGCGTATAATGTACGATGTACCATACAAATGCATGTCGATATGTACATACATATGTATGTATGTATGTATGCTTGTATTTAACTGTGCACATACGAGGATTTTAATTATGGTTGTCGCTGCTGCTGGTAAATGCATGCCATGCATTTTTTTTATTTTGTTCATCAGTATTTTCCATCAATTTTTGCCACATTTTGACTGCAGCGTTGCACGGTAAATTGCATCGACAGGCCAACTGTGTTGATGCTCCCGAAACCGGCTTAACATGTACACGAGTGCATGTGCCCGTGTGTGAGAGTGTATGCGAGAGTATTCCAGGCTTGCGAATGGCATCCCGGTACCTGCGACTTTAGCGCTCTCACAAAACTCAGTCATACTGTCTGTCGCTCAGCACAGCAGTAACAAGTACAAAACTAAAGAGAGGGAGAGAGCGTTTACAGTTAGGCCATGGCTGCATTTTGCCATTTTCTTTGCCTATATTGCAAATTCATTTTTGTTGTTTTTTGTTTTCATTGAGAGGCTTTGGCTTTTCTTTCAGTCCGTTCCGTTCCGTTCATAGGGCGACTCAGGCAAATTGCTGGGGCGTTATTTTTGTTTTGCTTGTGTGCGCTCATGCTGATGTCACACCCAACGCTGCCCCCGCCCAGCCTGTGCTTGAGACAGCGAGACCTTTGTTTTTTTCCTCCACAGATCATGCAAATTATAAACAATATTGGCATTTAATTTTTGTTATTGCGTATCATTGTTATCGATGTCGTCGCCGCCTTCTTAGGGGGCGTTGACTGCCATCGAGCACAGGGTACGGCTTGTTTGTGTTTTAAATCGAGTTTTGTTACTTGTCGCCGAGGCTGACTTTATCAGTGAGGTTTCGTTGAGTTCAAAGGCCCAATTCAACAAATCCAATAAGAATAACAGCAGCAGCAACAACAACAACAACAACAACAACAATTGGTAATGGGCGTCTGCTTAAAATTAAATGTCATAAAAATGTTATTGTAAATATGCATTTATCAAATGACAGCCAGTTTTCCCATTTCGAGACGTGCTGGTATTTCTAAAGCGCAATCTTCAAAAAAAGGGGAGAAATAAATAAATAAATTAAATAAATAACTACTTTTTTATAAGCCTAGAGTTAGTGCCGGCAGCGACGTCAGCTGCGCTGTTAGGCAGCATAATTTACATACGTGACAATGTTAAAGCGCAGCTCAAGTCACGTTTTTGCTTCACGCTTTTTTTTCATTTTATTTATTTTGTTTTCGTTTGAATGCGACGGGCGGACGGCGACTGCTGCTCTTATCGCGCCTGTGTAATCACTGGTACTGGCTGAACCGTGATCACCCTGTGGCGGCTGCACTTGCTGCTGCGCTGATTTCGCTAAATTTTGTGATCTGGCTTTGGCCTGACTTGCGCTTATCAGTCAGCGCACACTTTCGAGCGCTGAACGCCCCCAACACAGACACACGCATACATACATACGCATGCGTATGTGTGTGTGTTTGCAGAGTAATTCAATTATTTTGTATATTATTTTCAATGCGACAATAAAATAACAAGCGACAATAACAACAGCAACACAGATAAGTTTTGTCATTGTTGCGATTGTTGTTGTTGTTGTTGCTGCTGTAGTTGTAGTTGTAGTTGTAGTTGTTGGCGCTATGGCACCGACTGGCACAGGCAGAGAGCAATTATTTTGTATTCCGCTTGGTCGCTTGGTTGAGATAGTGTGAGACTTCCGTTGAATGGGGGCCAGCGGCTATGGAGACTCGGAGGGGCAAACGGAAAAGAGCGAAAGTTTTGTTTTAGAAAACAACAAAAACAAAAAACAAAAAAAAAAAAAAAACAAAAAAGGAAAACAATTATAGAAGGTTTTTATTGTTGTTGCCGTTTTTCTGTTTATGCAACGCAGATCGGGTTTCTTAATGGCATCATAAATTGCAGTTGTTGCACAAAAAACAAAACAATAACCAAAACGTGGGACAAGGTCATTAAATGCATTTCATATAGGAAAGTGTTGACATTTAAATTAAATGTTGGCGCGCTCCGTTGCCTCAGCACATTAACGTTTTCCCTGTAAGGTGGCAACTATATATGGTTCTGAGCTCCGATCAACAGCTGTTTAGCAGAGCACTGTTATCTTTTTAAGCACTGTGGTAGCTCTGCATGGTTGTAAACTCCTCTCAACAGCTGTTAAGCATTAACAGCTCGTTGCACACGCACAATCGATATGTGCGAGCAGCGCTAACATTTCGATAGTCAGTTGCGTGCCTATCGCCCGACCACCGCGATTTGCTGAACGTCTTAAAAATATTTATAATTGAAACATTTACATTTGTTCGCTAATTTTCCCATTGCATTTAGCGTGGTCGCGTTATTAATACAATAGCAGTGCCAACTATACGTGCGCTGCACCCACACACACGCGCGGGCGAGCAGAGTTTTGTTTACCTTTTTTTCCCGTGTTGGATATCGAGAAGTTTTTGCTGCTGCAACATATGTACACGCACATATGTAAATAGATAGGTTTATGTATGTGGCAGTGTGTGTGCGTGCATATTGTATATATGTATATAAATATATAGTGTGTGTAGAAAATGGCATTTAACAGTGAACAGTTAAGTTAATGCGCAACGATGCAGATGCCGTCGCCTGCAGTTGCTGCGCTGCCCACCAGGTGTTTATTTTAAGAGTGTGGCCCCAAAAAGGAAAACAACAACAACAACAACAAAAAGCAACGAAACTAAACGCAAAGAAAATCGTTCGCGAGCTGTTCCACATGGAAAACGAGCCCCAAACAATTGGCTTTTCCCGCTCCCGCAGTTGTAGTTGTTGCTGGATATGAATCTGAATTTGAATCTGAATCTAAATCTGCAGCAAAGTAAGTACAAAAAACGTCTCCCATATACTAGCCTCCATCTCGCTCCCATTCACTACCGTTCCCATTCTTGGCCTCCCACACACACACAAACACACACAGAGTCATGCTCACGTACACATGTTTACGCAGTGTGTACATAACATAATTATCGATGAGCTGCGCTGTTATCTCTCTCTGATAAGTGCGCTGCTTCGATTAGCGTTGCCGTATTGGTTTTCCAATTAGATTTTGTTGTTAGGTTTGTTGTTGTTGTTTTGTTTTGTTTTCACTCAAGGGCATTTTGCTTTGCGGTTTCTTTGGCACAATTTCTTGTTTTTTTTTTTTTCAGTTTGTTTTTATTTTTTTTTTGTGGCTCGTCTGTTTGTTATCCTGTAAAAAATCGTGTATTTGTATATTTATTAAGTGTCATGTCTTATTTATCATACTCATTCTCTCTGGCTTTTGATTTATGTTTCTAATAAAATTTCAATAGACTTGCAATTTGTCGTTTTTGCATAGCAGCGTTGCCAGTCCGCCTCCTTGTCCTCTTCTAGTGCGTTGAGCTTACACCCTTCGCCTCTCCCCCTCTGGCACTTGCCATGCTTGATGCCACGTGCGTTGGCCTGCACAGTGGTTGCATTTAGTTCAACATCTTGTGAATAAGCAAAAAATATGCAGCAAGTGTTTTCCATTTAATGAGTCATAAATATTCTTGTTTTCTCTTTAATTATATTTAAGTTCAATATTTAGAAATTCGTTTATACTTATTTTTAATGACTCATTAAAATATATTTTTTTTGTAACTGAATTAATATTCTTTTTAATTAGTTTACAAACGTAAATATTTTTAGGATTTTCGAATGAATAATTTAATTTTATGAATTTAAATAGGTTTCTATATTATTTTTAATGAACAAAGTTTGTTTTATTATTATTACTTTTTTTTTGTCAATTCTTTTTATGATGACAATATTAATTTATTTGTTTAATATTTTATACATTTATTTTGATTGTTAAGATATGTATATATTTTTTGAAATTATCTTTTGTCCGCAAAATGTTATATTTTGTTATTTTTATTAAAATGTTGCTTGCATATTTCTTGTTCCACTGTGCACCGCCTCTCACACATCAAAAGCCGCGAACGAACGCAAAAATATGCGAAACTTCAGCAAAGCCTTACGCTGAGCCATTCTCTCTCGTCCTCTCGCCTTTCGCAGCAGTGTTTTATGTGCCAGGACTTTTGTTGTTACTTAGCTCTCGCTATTGTTGTTGTAGCTGTTGTTTTTGTTGTTGTTGTTATGGCTGTTAGGCCTAGGTTCTGCATTTGGGGCGGTCCTGTGTCCTGCCATACATTACAATGAAGTATGTGCGCCCGAATGAATGGCCGCTGCTCAGCTCTGACTCCTTCTGTTGGCCTGGCTGCCTAGCTGCCTAGCTGCCCGCCTGATTGTTTTGCTTGGCGACCTTTTCACACACACACTCGCTTAACTACATATGTACATGTGTGCTAGTACAGTGAAGACTTTTGTAAAAGAACAGTCGCCTTGAGTGAATATTTGCTTGATGCTTGTTTATTATTTTCGAGGCAAACTTTTGGCAAGCACTTTATGGGTATGCTATACAAAAGTACAGTAAAACACCGCCTAATGAACGCCTGCTTAGAGCTGAACTACTTAATTTTCCTTAAATTTAGTTAACTATTTGCTTAGCTGTGCTTTTTCTCAGCCAAATCTCTATCAATGGTTCACTCTAGTCAGTGCTCACTGTACTTATGTGTAGGTATCTTTGCACATGGTCACAGACGGCCAGCAGTGGCAGTGGCTAATTATGACCCGCACGTTTTCAAAACAAACAGCTGAAAGAGCTGCGCAGGGGTGGGAGGGGCGCTAGGGGGCTAAGAGCAGCTGCCTTGCTCTGGCAGACGCGACAAGGGGGCTCTGGGGGGCTGTCATCCTCTTGCCCTTTCCTTGGCATACAAGTGTTTAGCTACGTTTAAATGTTTCCGGCGCTCACTTTTGTTTCGTGTCGCCTTCAGCCTTGGAGTCTATATTTGGCAACGCATGCAGCCTGACACTTTACCAGCCCCCTTCAAAGACCCCGCCACCACCCCGCCCGCAGCCACGCCGCTGCTCAGCTGTCGTCGCTCTGTTTGTTTGTTGCACTTTTATTGCGTTTTACCAGCTAAGTAGTCCTGTGTGTGAGCCATAAACATGTCGTCTTTCGCTTGATTTAGCGACCAGCCTGCCCCCCCTCTCTCTCTCTCTCTTTCTCTCTGTGTGTGTGTGTCCTTTGTAGCCTCGCTCCACTGTCAGCCTTCAGCCATTGTTGTGGCCGTCTAAGCTCTATGTCGCGCATACGTAACGCTCAACTGATCTGCTCGCAATAGACGTGCGCACACACAATGGGCCAGCCCAGCTTGTCAAAATTTGTTGCGCCCCAAACGCTGTCAGATTTCTAGTTATGAGCTGACAATAACTGCCAATGCGAGGGTTGCCCATAATGTTGTTTGTTGGCTTAATAAGTGTTTTAAATATTTGATATTTGTTGATGCATGGAAATGAAATGCGAGAGATAATAAAAGCGACAATCTCTGTGGAGTAGAGCTTAGTTAGTAGACATAGATTGTTAGTATATTAAACATATATGAAGCTTTTAAAGGCTTTTATTCAATATTTGATTATGACTTTGAGACATCAAGTAAACCATATGCAAGCTTCTTGAATGTGATCTGTCTGCTCCTTCGTTAGTATCATTGTATCTCGAGAACTTTAAGAGCACTTTAAGCCTTAATCAATAAAGTATATTCTACTTCGATATCAAGATTTGATACATTGAAAGAACTTTAAGCCTTAATCAAATATGTATATACTACTTCGATATTGAGATTGATTCTTTTGGAATAGCTTATATTCACTTAAGTTGAATAAGGTAAATCTCGCCTCTTTCATAAGAAGCCCCACTAGATCACTCTCTCTCTCTCTCCCTCTGTTTCTGTATTACCCCAACATATTCTACTCACTTGACAAATTGTGAAATCAACCCTCGCAGTCATAAATCTGCCGGCTGTTTAGCTTGGCAATCTTTCAGATCTGCATACAAAGCCGTCGCCTGTCGCTGCCTGGTTTGGGGCGTTTTGAGTTATGCGCAAAGTTGGACCAACTTGACTCTCGATAATAATGTGCTTTATTTACTTTTTATTCTCAGACCAAACAAAGAATGGCCTGAGCCGTGTTAGCCTGGTCAAATCGCAGAGCAGCGCCAAGCTGAGCCACAGCAATGAGGTCGCAACAGCAACAGCAGCAGCAGCAGCAACGGCAACAACGACAACAACTAGCTTACGCGCTGCCAAACTTAAGATCGAGGCCATGCAACAGCAGCGCGGCAGCAGCAACAGCAACGGCAGCAGCAGCAGCAGCAACAACAACAGCGGCAGCAGCAACATCATTCTGCTGCGCGGCACTCGCAACGAGAATGGACAGATCATCATACAGAACAAGCAGGATATACTCAGCCTGCTCAGCGAACAGCAGCAGGAGAAGGCGACAGCCCTAACGCTCAATCAGCTGCCCACCACGACAACTGTGGCACGCAAAACGATTGTCCAGAGCAACGGCAACAGCAGCAACAGTAGCAACTGCAGCAGCAGCAATGGCAGCAACATCATCAACAGCTGCAGCAACAGCAGCTCGGGCAGCATTTCAATTGTGGCCAGCAGCGGCAAGGACACGAATACGATCCTGCTGCAGACGCCCATCAATGCAAGCCAGCTGGAGAGCGTGCTCAAGGCGCAGGTGAACAGCAGCAACAGCAACAACAATGCCACAAAGCTGATCGAGCGCCCCTTTATGCTGAAGCATGTAAGTATCATAATCTTAGCATTACTATTGTCATTCGAATTTGTATTATCATTAGCAATTTCTCTTATCCTTATTATTGTGATTCGTTGTATATACTTCTCTGTTTATTGTTGATTGCTCATTGTTCATTGTTTACTGTTCATTGTTCATTCTTCATTGTTCATTGTTCATTGTTCATTGTTTATTATTCACTATGCATTATGCATTATGCACTATTCATTATTCATTATTCATTGTTCATAGTTCATAGTTCATATTTCATAGTTCATATTTCATAGTTCATAGTTAATTGTTGATTGTTAATTGTTAATTATTCATTGTTCATTGTTTATAGTTCATTGTTCATAGTTCATAGCTCATTCTTCATTCTTCATTGTTTATTGATCATTATTCATTATTCATTGTTCATTGTTTATTATTCATTGTTCATCGTTCATTGTTTATTGTTTATTGCTCAACGTATATCACTATCATAATTATGATTGCCATCATCATTATCATCATCCCTCTACTTCTCCTCTTGCTAACCCTTTTTCATTTCCTCTTCCAGGCCTCGCGCAGTCTCAGCTCTGAGAGCAATTGCGACAGCAAGTCGCCGTTTGTGCTGCAAACGCTGAAGCGTTTGGAGAAATCACAGTCTATACTAGTCATACGCAACTCGACGTCTGCCGCCAACAATACGCCGCCGCTGCAGCTGAGCAGCAGCAGCAGCAACAGCAACAGCAGCAGCAACAAGAGCAACAACGCCAACAGCAACAATGTGACGCAGCAGACGCATCTGCTGAGCGTTTCGCGCAGCTCGAAGGCGCCCAAAGCGGTGGCTGCTACGTTGCAGAAGCTGAAGGCGCCAGCGGCGGCGGCAGCGGCAGCGGCGGGTGGCACGACTATTTTGAGACTGAGCAAGAGCGTCAACAAGCAGGTGGCAACAGCGACAACAACAGCAGTAACAGCAGCAGCAGCAGCAGCAACAGCAACAGCAGCAACAACAACAACAGTAGCAGCAGCAGCAGGAGCAGTAACTGTTGCCACAACAAATAAACTGTCCATGGAGCAGCAGCAGCCGCAAACGAATGTGCCACTGGGGAACGGTAAGTCAGACCAGCACAATAGCTTATATAGAAGAGAAAGAGAGAGAGAGAGAGAAAGAGAGAGAGAGCGAGAGAGAGAGAGCGGTCAGCATTGCTATCTCTGCCTGCATTTCAGATGCGCCACATAAATCGACAGCCGCCTGTACAGGTGCACGGCTTGTCTGTCTCTGAGCGCTGCTTTTGTTTTTGGGCCTTAAAAATTGACAACTGTCGAAACTGTATTTGGTTTTGCTGTTGCCTATTTCGAGGCGTCGCGCTTTAAAGCCGCAAGTATCCTTGGCTACATATCCTTTCGGACTGAGCGTACGTGGCTAGCCTAACAATTATTCAATTAAATGCGAATAAACTTGGCCTCCGGCGGCCGCCTGCTCGCTCGCTTGTCTGACCCCCAGCCCAACTCTCTGTTCTCCCCTCTCTCTCTGCCCTCTTCTTCTCTTTCTTACACTCTCTTGTTTTTTTCTTGTCTCTAGTTGTAGTCCAGCTGTGCACGCGGTTGGTGGCTCATTGATTTTCACACTAGCCAAGCATTTGTTAGATACCCTGTAAGCACGTCAGCTTACATGGGGTCTATTGTTGTGTACACATCTAATGTTTATATATGGGTATAGGAATATAGACGATATGCATAAGTCTTAAGTAAAGGACAGAAGTAAAGGTAGAGGGCAATATCTAGCTGTACTCAGACTGATTCATAGAGAACTTTCATATCCAAGTTGACCTCTTCAATACTGCTTCGATTTTCATATGATTCTACTAAATCCTACTTGATGTATTAAATATATAGATAAGACTGTCTCTGTCTCTCCACTACTCTACAGGGTAACTCTGCTTTCATACAACAATTCCACTCCCTCATTCACTTCGACTCTTTAGCTTTTCTTGATGGCCTCTCTGGAGGGCAAACTGAAAACGTGGCTCAATTGGCTGTTGCTGGTCCTTTGGGCTGGCCGCCTTCTTCCTCTGTATTCCTCTACTTCTTCTTCTTCTTCTTCTTCTCAGCTCACAGTGTTCATTAGCGAGTGAGTTGCTCGTTTCGTAACCTGTAACGATTGCCAAATTAGTTCATTTGAGCATTAAGTGCTCAAGACCGACTCTCAAACATAATATTTGATTCGATTGATCCAATTGAATCTTCTTAAACTAAAACTTTCCTAAGTGCTCTTCAGCTCATTTGAGAAAGTTCGAAGCAAAGCCCAAAATGTGGAGCGACAATGGTGATGCTATTGAAGCTGAAGCAAAATCTTAGTAAGAAAACCTATTTGAGATTTCAATTGAAGTTGTGTTTATGCGGAATTTAAGAAAATGTTTAGAATTATCTTTCATAGACTTCAAGATCTCTTGCTTTTCAGTTTTTAGAACTCCCTTCCATTTCCTGTTTAGGCAAGGCTATCAGCTCCTTCATGCTTTCTTGCCTTAAATACTCTGTCTCCTCTGACTTACGCCTGAATCCCGTAGGATATTTTCTAATTTTATTTAAGATCTTTACTTCATGCTCCTTATATTTATTGAGTCGGCATTCAAGTTCCTTTCTGTGTTTAGAATTGGAACTGTTGAACTCTAGAAAGACTTGGCAAGTTCACATTCTTCTTCCTTCATGTTTATAAATCTTATTTCTACGGATTAACAAGTCTTGTCTATAGTGTTTACTATTGTTATATGGCTTCTTTTTTCTCAACTATATCTCAAGATATATGTATATCAATATATTAAACATTGAGTACATATTTTGTCTAAGTTTATATTGTTGTGGATGCAGCGAAATCTTGTTTCTCTCTACTCTCAAGTAAAATATTCTTATGGAGCATAGATTATGTAACTTAAATACAAAGAACTTTCTTAACTAGTTTAAACACTTTTAACAGTTTATCAGCATTCTGAAGTAGTTCTCTAAGTTTCCATCTTGGGCACTTCCATGAAGATTGTAGATTGAAGATTGTCGCCGTCGATTAGCCAAGTGGCAGCTGGCGTTCAAAATAAGTTGCACGTCTATGTGGAATGCCTCGGGGCAGCAGCAGCAGCACCAGCAGCAGCAGCAGCAGCAGCTGAATTATTGCTGAGCTAAACAGAAAATGGTTTTTCTATGCGTGGTTGTTGTTCTTGCATAGAATTTGCGACAATTGTAGGAAGAGTTATTTGGTCTATCAGACCGTTTGTCAGTCTCCTGCTCGCTCTTTGTATGTGTGTGTGTGTGGAGGTGTTGATTATTGCACTCGATACAGAGAGAAAGAGAGAGCGAGAGAGAGAGAGACAGTGGGGCAGTGTGAAGCGCCCTTTGTTTTTTGGCCATATTTTTTTTATGTGCTGACAAGCCGAAACACTTGCAAAGAGCTGTTAAGTGATTTTTAAGCCAGATTTAAGTTATGGCCAAGACGATTGGGCTGCCACACTTCCTCTATCTCTTTGGGTATGTGGGCGTCAAGTGGCTAAAAGTGTCGAGCTGTCGCGGCATATTGCAAACTCGAGTATTGCTGATGTTTCAATTGGTCTTTTGCCGAGAGACAGGCAGCTAGGCAGGCAGGGCAGACAGACAGTCGGGCACAACTTACTCATCGTTGATGCACTGGGAGAAAAATTGTAGTGGCAATATATATTAAATAACAAGCAACTATCAATAGCTGAAAGTTATCAAGTCTCTTTGAAATGATACTCATACTCAATCATATAAAGTAAACTTTTTTATCGAACGAAGCTGGAACTTATAATTTGTTTGTTGGCGTGTCTTAAAACCTTATATTCATCACTTGAACCAGTCTAAACTCTACATTTCTAATATCCAACTATTGTTGTGCTTAAGCTATGATTATAATGCCAAAAGAATTTTCTAAAAAATCCAGAAAACTCTTCTTAAATTTAATCTAGTTTTCCCTCAGTTTTTTGCTTAGAAGGCTTTCATATGATACCTTTCCATTGTCATTACCTTTCAATTTTTAACAGTGTACAATACTTTCTATGCCCAAAAACAAGTGTATGTGTGTGTGTTTGTGTGTGTGTATTGTGTGCTAAATGCAGACATCCGTGAGATACTTATCTGATTTGCAGCTAACAAAGTGCAACACACGCCGCCTCATACCTTTTGCATTGCATTTTATTGATAAAACTTTGGCTAAAATTTTAAATAATTTTAATTTAGTTTTAGTTTAGTTTGAGGCCATATTGTATTTGTTATGCTCATTGTTGTTGCTGTTGTTGTTGTTGCTTTTCGGCTTTATCATATAGAGTAAAGCCATTAGCTAAAAGGCGCCCAACCTTCAAAAAAAAAAAAACGCCGAAAATTTATTTGATTCTTGCATTTCTATTTCTTTTGCTATTGCTGGGGTCTTCGAATGAAGGGTGTCTTGACTCAGGGAAAGTCTTTGCTGCTGTAGAGTTGTATGTAATACCATAAAGGTATATATATATATTTAATATCTAAAAGTAGAATCTATTTTTCTGTGCATTGTGAATATTTATCGATATCGATAGCTAATAAATGATAAACATCAGTTCCTCGCTTGCACTTGCACTCTATAGGGTATTTCCTAGTCAATCACTTCATATGCTATACTTTTTTCTCGATTTTTTCAACTTCTTTTGCCACACAATGTTTTTTTTTCTATTTTGAAGGTAAGCAAATTAAACAAATTACCAACAAACAGGCGGCTCAGGTGTGAGCCCCGCCCCCCAACTGTAGGTCGCTCGTCCAAAAGTATCTATGAGATACTATATATTTTTTTTGCATTTCGCATGCATGCGCGCGTCATGTGAGCAAAGTTTTCTGTGTGTTTTTTTTTTTTTTGCAGTTTGTTTTTTATTTTGGCCATTCGTTTTGATTTTTTTCACTTTCTGGTTGTTTTTTCTTGAAAAATCCTTTTGGCTCGCTTCATTATCATTTTTGTTGCTCTTCCTTCGAGCACATAATTGCCAAGAGAAATAAAGGCAAACTTTTGCACAGCAAAAAAATGGAAAACAAAAGCTAGAAAACTTTTGCATTTCCGTTGTTATGAAACTTGAGCCAGTGTTGAAAAACAGCTAAAAGAACTGGGTGTACAGGAAAAAAAAGAATCACAAACAGAAAAAACTTTTTTCCCATATATTTTTTTTGGCTAAAAAATTATGATGGGTCGGCGCCTGGCACCACTTCACACACACACACACATACAAACAGTGTGTGTGAGAGGGAGGGAACGAGTGAGTGCGATTTGCTGTGTGGGCGTCTAATTAGTTAATCCCTTTGGCTAATTGCCTCACTGCCACGCCCATCCATACACATCTCGCCTTCTCATTTCTATTTCACTTGTTTGTTCTTCATTTTTGTTTTCCTTCTTTTTGATTATTGTGTCGCAAGTTTGAAATTCGTCGTTAACTTTTTGTTGCATGCTGTCGGTGTGACCATATTTGCAGTGCCCTGATTTGCTTTATCACACACCTGCCACGCCGGTCACGCCCTGTCAAATGGCTCTCACAAAGCAATTGGGCGCAAATAGACGTTCGCACACAAAGTGTTGCATTAGGCAAACAAATTAATGAATTCTCTGATTTGTATTTGCTCTACAGTTAGATATGGTCGTATGCTTAGAGAGAAAGAGAGAAAAGATAGGGGTAAAAGGATGGCGAATACGCAGCTTTACATACAGCAAGAAAAAGCCCAAGCTATTGTAGTTTTCTCTATATAGACTTATGGAATCCTTAGATAATCCTTTCTTTTTACTACGAATTGACGTAAGATATTTTTCTAAATCTAACGCATCATATCCTGTAGAAATTGGTAAGGATACGGCTGAGTTAGAGCAAATTTTCTGAGTAAGGACATTTTCACATAGCCAGAACTCAGTCATATCCTTAAGAATATCGTAAGGACATATATTTTTGAGCTTGTCCAATACAAGACCATCGATTGGCATTTAAGGATTTTCAGAAATCCACAATCCCCTCAGATTTTTTATAAGGGATGTGGTAGAAAATTGGCTAAAAAGCCAAAAAGGCATGTTAACTTGGCCATTTGAAGGACCAAAGGAAAGAAG